ACATTCCTCTTTGTTCTTCTTCTGGTCCGTAAAAAAAGCAAGAATGTAGAGTGGAAGGAAGGAAAGTGACTTCGTTTAGGTGCATAGCAAGGTAGTCCAATAGAGCTGGTAAACTAAGCTAATAGCAGGCATTCCGAAAGCAGAATTGAAACCCTTGGAGAAGGGTGGCTGGGTGCTTTAAATAAGAAGATTAAAAAAAATGCGTATGTAAAAATTATAAGGTGTTTTGTCTTCTCGATCGAGATTGGGTTAGGGTATATATTTGGTTTGTGTGCATGAGATTCCCAACGAATCCTGAGGACCCTTTCGGCGAATGTTTCTATGTCTTGATTGTTGTTGTGTTCTAGTGCTGGTATCTCCTTCGCGTTCGCATAGCTTGGCTGCATTCCCAAAGGGTATGGTGGGATGGCCTCTGCGTTTGCGGAGGGCTAGATTAGTTGACCCTCACGTTCATGGGGTCTAGGCTGCCTTCGCGGAGGGTCAGGCTGAAGACCTTCAAGTTCGTAGAGTGGTGGCTGTGTTCGCAAAGGGTTAGTTCTTTTGGTCTCTGTGATCGCGGAAGGGCAACCACGATCGTGAGGACCAATGGCCTGGCAGTTTAATGAAATTTCTCAAAATATGAATTCTTCCCAATTTTTCCATAGCTGGACCTTGAGAGCTACATGGAGGTGATTCGAAAGAGATTTTTCAAGCTAAAACTATCTACTTGGGTTGGTATAATACATATATTTGTAGTGGTGCATAATTCGAGCCAGCCATCCTAAATTGAATTAAATCATAAATAAACTTTTTATTTTTAAAAAGTAATATTGTTTGACATGTAAGATATTTATGAGTATAATTGAAAAGGATCAGATATACCTCTACGAAAATCACGTTAATATTTTTTAATTGTCAAAGAGTTTCTTTCATATAGTATTGTTGGAACAACTGGTGGAGCAGGGTCAGAACTACGGCTGATGAAGCAGCAGCCGCTAGAGCTAGTAGACCTGATCGAGCTGGTTCCACCCAAAAGAAATGGATGACCCCTTCCACAAAATTATTGATAAAGTGAGGATCACAACAAAAATAACCAAAAAAATCCATATACCAATAGTATTTTTCTAGAGGTAATGGGGAGACTATAGAAAAAAAAATAGTAAACAACATGAGTTTACTTGATTATATAGAAATAACCATTTTAACTTCTAATCTAGTACTAAATCTGTCATTGTATATGAAATATTTCATAGCCCATCTAACAATGCATCAAATACTTTAAAAGACGTGTCAATCTAGCTAGTGTTACCATTAACTTAGACAATAGATGATCATCTTGCCATAGTCGTAATCACTGACACAATTTTCCTGATTTCTGAAGTCTCAACTACGGGACCTATGTATGACTCATGGTTCCTTCTACGGCTCGTAGATGGTGCCTGTGAAACACAAAATTCTACAGATTTCAGCAATCTTCTGTTCTTTTCCCTAGTCTAACCTGAGCTATGGATTTTGGGGTGTTACACCCTTTATGTACACTTTTTATCTTTAAAAATCTACGTTATATCTTTAAAATAATTGTACTTAATAAATATCATACGCACAATAATTTGTTCTTTTTATATTCATTTATTATTAGTTAACGCGATACACACATGCAAAATACGTACACTTCACTAGTTAATAATAATGATATTTAGTTTACCCTAGAATTAAGCCAAGAAGCACGGGAGAAAGACATATGTTAATTTAGGACAAAAATTAGTTAGTTAGGTAATTCGTTATTGTTTTTGAATTTATTCCTTCAAATAATTAAATATCAATTTTTTTTTGTTTTTTCAAATTGGGAAGATACCACATATAGCTCTACTCATTAGAATGTTTTATGTCAAAAATTTGGCAGTTATTTAATCATAATGATTAGGGGTGTACATCGGTCGGTTTGGTTTTCATAAGAAAAATAACAAAATTAATTATGTCAGTTTATTAAATCTTAAAACCAAACCAAAGCAACATAAAATTGGTTTTTACTATTTCGGTTTTAGTCGGCTCTTTCATTTTATACGGGTTTTTTTTTTTACAACTATATAATGATTGAAAAAGAGATCAAATATATTTCACTTACCTATGTGATAAGCTAAAACTTGAAAATGTTAATGAATAAGAATCTTCAAAAAGACCTTAAAATTCACATGAATACAAACACTTTCATTGAAATATCAACGTTCAATATATTAAATTTATAAGATTAAGGCTACCGTTAAACTGAATACAAAACAAAACATATACAAAGTAAATTATTAAATTTCTTAACCTGAAAAATTAGAACAATATAATTGTAACTTGCAAAAATGTGGTTGGTAAAGTTTGCTTCTTTTTCAAATTGTGTATAATTGAATTTTAGAAAGAAAATAAAACTACACTTATATCAAGTCATATTTTTAATTCCTTAATTTTTGACTCAAAAGCGCACAAATCAAATATCCAGCAGATGTCTCTCTAATCTCTATTTGTCAGTGGATTTGATTAGTAGCTTTCTCCCTCTATTGTATAAAGTTATTTCCCGTTTTGTCGTTAGGGTTGATATTTGAGGTGACTTCTCTGTTTTTTCAAATGTTGTGAACAGATTTGCCTGTTGTGCCGGTTCTTGCTGTGATTTCTTACATCTGCGTTCCAGATTCTTATCCATCATTATTCTACTAGGCTTAATTCACAGACGTTCCAAGCTTTAATTTACCCAGTTAATTTGCCAACTATTTTTAGATATGTTCTGTTTTTTTTGCTTTTGCGTATTTAGATTTGTGTTCGTTCAGCAAAATAGGATTGTAATTTCCCTTTTCCTTCTATGTTCGGCTACCTAGCAGAGTCATCACTCTGTTTGGATGAACATGATAAAGATTCATATGAACAACACAAGTCCTTGGTGATAGAAAGTTGAGCACTTCAACAAATGTTTTCTGAACTTCATATCATTTAGATTCATGTTTTGCTTCTCTTTTCCCTTTTTTTTTTTTTTTTTTTGATAAGTTTAAATTGATGATAGAAATGTATTCCTCTAGCTATTACACACTAAACAACTTTCTAGGGGAGCAAATCTGGTTATCAATTTCTTCTCTTTCACGTGTTAGCTTTGAGAATTTAGGCATTTTGAGTTGCTAGGAAGGATTTTTTTCTCGTACAGTCCCTTATGGTTTGGAGAAGCCTTCCGCTTTCTAGTCTTTGTTTTTTCGTGTTCATTTGAGTAGGACCTTTGTTGAGTTCAGGCATGTTGTACAGAAGTGTTCAAGTTCGATGTGTCATCTTCTGCTAGGAGCCATAGTTGTTGTTACCAATGCTAGAAATACACATATGGAAGAAAGGTAGAAATTCACGCGTGTCCACAGAAATAGAAGGATCCTCAACATTTCTGAAGAACAAATGGAATGCAAGAGAACTTCAGATACTACCATGGAAAAAAGTTAATTGTTCCCGCTGAAGTTCTCTTACTTTCCATTTGTCCCAATTTGTTCTTCAGAAATGTTGTGAGAGGATCTTGAAAGGGAAACTAGAGGACGATTGAGGATCCTTCTATTTCTGTGGAGTTCCATAGATATATCTCTAGAATTGGTAACAGGAACTATGGCTTCTGGAGCAGAAGATGACGCATCGAACTGAAACACTTTTGTACACATGCCTGAACTCAACAAAGGTCCTGCCCAAATGAACACAAAAAATGAATTGAAGGACTGGAAAGCAGAAGGCTTTTCCGACCCATAAATTTGCTTCGAACATATATTATGAGAATACATTTCTATCACGAATTTAAACTTGAAAAATGGCAAGGAAAACCGAAACATGAATTTAAATGATATGAAGTCCAGAAAACATTTGTTGAAGTACTCAACATTCTATCATCAAGGACTTGTGTTGTTCCCAGGAATCTTTATCATGTTCATCAAAACAATGTTTTGTATATAATCCTCCATAGAGGGAGAAAGCTTACCAATTTGAAAGAGAGACGACTCTGTTAGCCGAACATAGAAGAAAAAGGGAAATTACAATCCTATTTTGTTGAACAAAGACAAATCTAAATAAACAAAACATGAATTTAAATTATATGAAGTCTACTCACTAATATCACAAAGATAAGAACAAATAGAGTCAGTCTAGATAGAAAAGCACTTACCGGCAACACCTTCAAGGTACCACTGCTGCATAGTTGACTTTACATTCTCTTTCTCCTCAGATCCAAGAGTCCTTTCTCCCCCTGCAAGACTTTGATAAAGGCGAGGATGGATTCCTGGGACAGTAGGTGATAAATCTCTAGGAACTGCGAGGTCTGTCTCTCTATTTTTCTTATCAGCACTTCCATGAGATGCCATGGCTTTATCACTTGACAATACAGAGTGAATTATTGATTCCCGACAATCTCACCAAGTTTATCATTCCTCGGAGCGTACAAAGAGGCTGCCAGAGGATCACTGCCATTGCCCAAGTGAACAAACTCATTTGCAACTTTATTGGTATTTTGTTGATTGCTTTCCCCCTGCCCTCCCCAGCCACAAAGTGCTATGATCTTTTCCACTGTATTTCCCAGAATAACCAGTTCAACTCACAAAAGAATCTCTCCTCGTAAATGGTTCCCTCATACCTCCATTCTCACTTTCAATAAAGGAACCAACCCACCAAAGAGAAGAATGAAGAATAACACACCAACGAAGCTAACACTAGCAACCTTTTTTGTGTTCACCTCACTCTTCTTTTTCTCCACTTTCTTGCTACTTTTTGGTGCGGGCCCTACTGCCTATGGTTTCAACTTTGGAATGGGAACCAATGACACTTGTGATCCTTGTCACTTCATAATATAAGGTGGTGCATATGAAATCGATGGCATACATCCCCGGGGTGTTTGTACTTGAGGAGGTACAGTAGTACCTCCAAGTTGTGCCTTTAGAGTAACATTTTTCGCCATTTCATAGGATATCTTTCCATTCAAATGTTAAATTGTTGAATGAAGTATTCTAAATTTATCATGTAACTCCTCAAGATAATGCTTTTTTTCTTTTCCTTGACAAGTGAGCACTTTCCTTATTCCCAATTAATCTAGTCGTCCTCTTTTCATCCTCATCACTATTAACATTGTCACTCAAGGAAAATATAGCAGATTTTTGGTGTTTGCTTACATTATTCGACTCTTCACTACCCTTTTTCCTTTTCAACAAATAGCTACAGTTACTTGTATTAGCATTGAGTTTCTGTTCTACAACTCCACCTTTTACTGAATTACTTCCTAACTTCGGAGAAGAATGTACCAATTTGTTAGAATTTGACAGATTATTCAACCATTTTGAGAGATTGGAACCACAAATCGTAGATGGCACATTCAAGTACCCAAAGACATCAATAGAAACCTGGTGCAAAAACGGAGACACTTCATCCAAAACTCCCGAGCTGCTCCAACTATGAAGTAGCCCTGGCGATGACATGTCCTTAACCATCACACCTCCCGCTGCCTGATTGCCGGCAAAATTACTTATTTCCTTTGACGTCAACTTGAAATTTCTAGAAGAATTGCTAAAATTCCCAATCAATTCATTCTTAGGTTGATCAAAACAATTAGGGTCCATGTGGACTGGTTTCGATCCCGGAGCTTCCCCTTGACAATCTCCGAGATCAACTTGAAATTTCCAGAAGCATCGCTAAAACCCCCCATCGGTTGACTCCTAGGTTGACCAAAATTATTTGGGTCTATTTAACCCGAGTCCAAACCTAGCTCCGACCCGAGATAGTCAAATAGGTATCTAGACATTTGAAATGCATCATCATTGGTAGGGTTTGAAAAAATATCATCAAATGATGCATCAAAAGTGATGTCATCAGTTGAGAAATCAATGTTCTGAAATTTCATTAAAAATCCTCAATATTTTCTTGATATGTTGTGGGAATGTGTAGGGCGTAAAAAGTATGGTCAAGAGGTGGAACTGCAAGACCATTGAAGTCACCGATGAGGTTTGCTTCTTCCGTTGGTGATGGATCGGCCATATCTAGAATTTTTTAGCAATTGATCACAGATTTTGCGACAGACAGAGTAGGAATATAGAGGAAACTTACATTTACTTTTCTTTTAAAGTTTTATTTTTCGAGATTGTTAAGATTGATTTATTAGATTTTGTAGATTGCCTTAGAAATAAAAATTAAGATTCTTAAAGTTTCAAAAAATAAATTTGTAAAGTTGTTTGATTAGTTGGTTATGTGTATTTTACCAATAAGAGCATGTCCATACAAGAATCCTCTTTTAAAGATCAAACCTTGAGGTAGGATTGTTATTTTTCAATGAAGTAAGAGGTGTACAAAATCGAACCGAAAACCGAACCAAACCGTAAACCAAGTCAAACCAAAAAAAAAACCCGACTAGTGGTTTGGTATTGGAAAAAAAAACCAACCCGAGACCAAACCAACCCGACATTATATATGTAATTTTAAAATTTTATTTTATACATAAAAATATTTACTTTGATGTTATTTTAAAATATTTTCCATACTATTTCATAGT